TTTGAAGAGCCAAGCTCGTCACCCGCTGAAAATGACGATTCAATGGATGCAATCTTTGAAGGTTTTGAAATTCAAAGACACAGAAACTAGAAGGTCCAACAGGAAGAGAAAATTTACTGAACCTCAGAATATCGACCATAAGAGAAAAAGATATTAACTCCCCCAAAAAGGGATAAGGTAGGGGGTGTTGAGGGGGTCCACCCCTTTTTTTTTACACAAATGGACTCACCCAGTATATAGATATACTACTGATACGGTAAGACGAGAGCAAGACGAGAGCAAGACCGAGGAGTCTAGTCGAGTCCAGCGTGACAGAGTAAAAGGTTGTAGGTAACCGGAAGAGTGAGGGGTGAGGTAACAGCGTTGTAGGAGTCACAGTGAGCGAGCACGTAGACTCAGTAAGAAGTCATACAGTGATACTTCAATACCAAAGGCTGTATAGATATTTTGCTACTAACCCGTATTCCTGGAACTACTAACCTGCTTTACCAGTTTGTATTATTATGTTAATAGATTTTCATATATTCATTCCTGGCGTTTGTCATTTATTGCTACCGGATTTCAATCCGGAATCCACAACAGTAACCATAGTTTTTCCCTCCCCTCGATTTTCTCTACTACAAAAAGTGATCATCGAACATCTGTGCATTGGTCGAACTGCTTTGAATAAAGATTCATTACAAGCTTAATGGTTCGTTTGTTTTCTTTATAGTTAACAGTAAATTATTTGAAGATGTGTTGCAAACACAAAGAAGTAAAGAGTTCATAGAATACGGTCATAGAATATGTTGAGTGCTTTTGCTGCACAAACTTCTTGATAAGATCCATAAAAGAATCAGCAATATTATTGGTCCTGATCTGGCGGTTTGGCTTCAGTCACTTACCCACCGCCTAAGGTTGTCTTTCTGTGTCTTTTCTATAATTACTTTCGCTATGGTACCTACCCTTTTTGAATTTAAGCGAAGTACTAGACTGTCGTCGTGATCTCTTTACAGTTGAGCTAGCTAGATGTAACCGTAAATTCTATGCTATCAGTTTCTTTTCTCGCAATTTTCGCTTGAGGAACTCCCTTCCGGCTCCATGTTTTTCAGCCAACCTTCAAAATTTTAAATGCTGTCCCGCTTATTATTTATGTTTCTGTTGCTAAGTCTTCCACACCTAGTAACCCCGTGTGTCTTAGTGGTTTTACTGCCTTGCATGGGGTGATACCGATTTTTTAAAAAAAGGATAAGACTTCCACCGCTATGAAAGGGACCGAATCTGAAGTTCCAATGAGGACAATTCTAATCGATAATTCTCTATTGATCGAAGATTTAAAGCAACAACGTGATAGAGTTTAACGATATATACTACATAACTTTCAGTCCTCTCCTCTAATGCTTGGTCCATATCCGCAGGTTAAATGAGAGAAAACAGATAACGATCGGAAGTAAAAGATTAAATTGCTTCCTGCGTGGGTTGAATCTGATCATTAGTTTCTCTGTTCCAACAAAGGGGCCAAACGCTGTGAGAGTTTTAAAACGTTACGTGTTGGAAGAACGAGAAACATTAAACAATCGCATCTTTGTTGCATCGGAGAGTTGGATGAATGCGAAAGGGTTAAAAGGAAAATGGAAGAAGAAAGGAATGAAGTAATGACAGAATGTAAATTGAAAAAAGCAAAAGACTTGAAAGAAAAATAAAGACGGGAAAGATTTTAGGAGAGAGTGACAAAATTGAAAAAGGAAAGAGATAGTACAAACAAATAATAGGAAAGGAAAAATGAAAGAAAGTAGTAAAAACAAGAAATAAAAACAATAAGAAAGAAAGAGAAAAAGAAAGACATCATGAAGAATAAATGAATGGAAGTTGTTTGGGTTTTTTTTATCAACCCGTATGAGTTATTTAATGCCAAAGACTAAATATGAAATTTCAAACTTTTTAATTAAAGGGAATCAAATTATCTCTGGATTAAATTATAAATACTTCTTTTTTTTAACCAAATAATCTTACAATATCAATCAAGGAGTGAAAACTTGTTTCTACTTAAAAGGAATGTGATTATCACATAGAATTGTTTTTTTTTTTTTTTTTTTTAAATTAATATATTCCATATTTTCAATTTTACTACAAAAATATATTGTTGTTAAAATTTTTTAATAAAAATGTATTGCTGGTATTTTTAGTATAAAATGTATTGAGGCGTAAAAACATGTTTCTGCTTACAAGAAATGAAATTAATAATAACAAAGTGTTGTGTGTGTGTGTGTGTTTCTTGACAATGTATGCCATGTCTTGTATTTTGCTATAAGAATATATTGCTGGTTATTTTAGTTTTGATTTGGTGGATACTATTTGCCCATAGCTGGGACATTAATTGGTGTTACTAACCCGAGTCAGGGCGGACCTGGGACCAAAAAAAACCCAAAAAACTAAGAGGTGGTTCTACGCTCCTCAAAACATCCAATTGCCCGTTCAGAGATCTTTCTGCTAGATGTAGTTTATCGTCATGCCCAGGATAGATGAATAAAAGACATCGTAAAAGAAGAAAGAAAAAAGAAAAAATAGTCATGAAAGAAATAAAAACATTAAATAAATGAAATACACGATAAAGAAAGAGAAAAATAACGAGCAATAGTTAACAAGCTAGTCTTGAAGTCAGTCTTAAAATAAATATATATATTCTTGCACAGAAATATACACCTTCAGGATGTATGGGTAGCCTAACGGTTATCAGCGCGGAAAGTTAAATTGGCGGACCGAGATAAAATTCTGGTCTTGTCCTTTGCGTTTACTTCAAACTAATACTTCCATCTCTTCTCCTCTTTTCCCCTATCTATGAATTAAATAACAGGTTAGACTAGGATCTCTAGCCATGGTCGATAGCCAGTCTAGGAAGACGACTACTCTGGATTCAAAATCATGAAGAAATCAAACCTTCACTATCAGATATTAAATAAAAGAAACTTATGGAGAGCCATGGTCGCCTACATTTTGAAGCAAGATATCATTAAAAATGCGCGTTTTCTCTTGAGGTGTAAAACGTACCAAAAGTTCGTTTAGTATGGTACAAGGTCACAATAACAGAGCTCCCAGGGAAAGAGGGACTCGCTATAAACCCAATGTCACACGTGACTTGCCGTGAAACATTTGCAAGCAAAGCAACCTAGCAAAACATTGCTAAAGAAATAGTTCGATTCTCATGGGATGCCCGGCAGTAGAATATTCGCTCGAGTGATGTCACCAGGTGCGTATAGCCCAATAGTTAGCAATACAGAGAATGGAGACGTGGAACAAAGTTCAGACTCCAGGTGGAATATTTTTGCCCGTTGGAAAGACAAATCTTTCCATTCTTTAACTAGCTAGATTAAATACCAGGGAAAGCTGGACTCGCGCCTTGCTTTGAAAACAATCAAGAAATAAAATGTTGAATTCCAGACAGCTGGATACTATTATCTTTCGCAAACAATTATTTTTAATACTAAAATTCACCCAATACCAGGCTTGAGTGACATTCAAGGTAGAGCGTTATTGTTAAAATGACGAATGATGTGTCTGACATAAGTGTTAAGAAGTGAAGATTATGAAAATAAGGAGGATCTTCTATGTGCTGTATTCTTTCAGAATATGGGCGATTATGGCTCTCCACTATCACCTATCCCTTGTCGATATTCCTGTCATAAACCTTAGGCCATCCATTCACACAATCTCGTCAGGTGGGTGGCCCGCTACCTTTCTCTGTTAATTTTGCCTTCGATATGTCCTTTGAGTGCAGCCCTTGACTAGAAGAATTTAAGTTTACAAGAAAAGAAATTATAGTGGGGAGCCATCTTTGCTTATGTATTGAAAGAAAATGTCACTTAAATGATATGCCATTGCTGAGGTCACTTTCGATACATTGGAGAAGGTAAGGATAAACTAGAAAAAGTTCGCAATCTTTTTCTTTTTCATTTTTTTTTTAATACCGAGGTGCTACAGTCCGAGGATACACCAACTCATAATGCAACTGCTCGATCGAAACAGGGAGGTCTCATTTCTTGTTCTTGTTCTCTCTATTTCTCTCTCTCTCTATATATATATATATGTGTGTGTGTGTGTGTGTGTGTGTGTATAAATATAAATATATAATATATATATATATATATATATATATATATATATATATATATATATATATATATATATATATATATATATATATATATATATATATATATATGTACTTATATGCGCGGTACTTATTAGAAAGCGCTCAATATCAGAGATAGAGCTAACATAGTTGGTTGGATTGATGTGAGTTTGTGACCCTGGGTTTCACGCTTTTGCGATCCTCAGACAAACTTTTTACATTTTTTTTTTAATTTTAGATTTATATAGATTGCGTGTATTGGTGTTATTATGGAAGAGGGGGGAATCGTCGTCGTGATGTCACTCATGCTAACGCAAACATAGATGCATGTCCGTACACCCATTAAGGTACGCAGACACACATACACACACGCTCGCCCGTCAGGGCTCATAGAAACATAAACATATGTGGACAGTATGGGACTTGCATGCTATTGTGCCCTTATGCCAAGCTAAGCTCATTTTGGTTAATTTGTAGTGATATGAAGTGAGGCTATCTGACCTCCAGAAGAAAATCCGAACATCTCTACCGACAAAAACAAAAAATAAAATTACTGAGTCCCGTTTTTGTAGCTTTGTGTCACGTTCAGATAACCCCAGTTCATATCAATACATATTAACCAAAATGAGCTTAGTTTGGCATAAGGGCACAATAAAATGGCGCTCAGTACCTACAATACTCACAAGATTGTTGTTTTCTAACAATCGTTCAGTCCAAGATGTGCGTGCTCCTCTATAAAGAGTCGTATTAATGTACAAAACCACTGTATATATGGCCTTTCCTAATATTTGAATGCGACTAACTTTACAGATGGGAACCAGTTTTAGTAGATAACGTAGTCGAAGACGTTCTTCATGTTTTTCAAGAAGGCAAAACGCCAAGATCAAGACAAATGAAACGTTTCTTGTGTCAGGAAAAAGTTGTTTATCAAATCGGCCTCAGAAATCCACCCCATACCACCGAAGGTCAAGAACTCAATTCGCATTCAGAATTGCAAGTTTTTAATTACTCGTTTTCAACTGATTTGGCTGTTGTTGGGGCAAGTACTCTTCCTCCCCTTCTCTTCCTCCTTTTCATCACCATCTTCTTCTTCTTCTTCTTCTTCTTCTTCTTCTTCTTCTTCTTCTTCTTCTTCTTCTTCTTCTTCAGTTTCTTCTGCTTCTCACTGGTGTTTTTTCGTTTTATTCATATAGTTTTTCCTCTCTTTATCTTTTTCCTTCCTTTTCTTTATCTTTCAGTTTCTACCTATTTTATTTCTCTTTCCCCTCTTTCTTCCTATTCTTCTACTTCCTCCTCTTCCTTTCCATCTTTCTTTTCTTCTTTTTATTCTTCTAATTTCTTACTTCCTTGTTTTTATTTCTCATTCCTCGCCATCTTCCTTTATTTCTTCTTCCTTTTCTCCTGCTTCTTTTTCTTCTAATTTCTTTCTTCCTTGTTTTTATTTCTCATTTGTTTCAGTCTTTTTTCTTCATCCTTTTCTTCATTTTTCCTTCTTTTCAATATCATTACTTCTTTCTTTATTGTTTCCTTCCTCTTTTCCTTTGTCTTCTTCATTTCTCTTCCCCCTTTTTTTTCTTTTAATTCCTCTCCTTTTTCTTTTAGGTTCTCTTCTTTTCTTTCTTCTATTTCTTTTAATTTCACCCTCTCTTGTTTATTTCTCATTTCTACCCATCTCTCATTTCTTCTTCATCTTTTTCTTTCTTTCTTTCTTTCTTTCTTTCTTTCTTTCTTTCTTTCTTTCTTTCTTTCTCATTCTTCTTCTTATTTTTTGTTTTCTTTCCTATTCTTATCCTTTTCTTCTTTTTCCCGTCCTTCGCCTTTTTCTTTTTCCTCTTTTTCAATTTCTTCTCCCTCTTCTAGTTTCTTCCTCACTTCTTTTCTTTCTTCGTCTTCTTCTTGTAGTTTCTTCCTTTTTGTTTTCTTCTTCATTCTTCTATTCCTTCCTTTTCTTTTTCCTTTTTTTTCTAGTTTCTTTCTTTCTTATTTTATTTCTCATTCTTCTACCTCCTTCTTTTCTCCTTCTTTTTCCAACTCTTTCCCTTCTCTTCCTTTTCTTCTATTCTCTTCTCTTGTTTTATTTCTTCTTCTGCTTTCTTCATTTTATGTTTTCTTTCTCATTTTTCTGCTTCTTTTTCTTCTGTCTTTCTTGCTTTCTTGTTTTCTTTCTCCTTCTTCTACTTCCATTTCCTTCTTATTTCTTCCTTTTTCTTTCTTCCTCTGTTATTTTCTTCCTTTCTTTCTTTATTCTGCTTCTTCTAATTTCTTACGCGTTTTCTTTTCCATTCCTCCTCATTTTCCTATTGTTCATCTCCATTTTGCACTTTTCTTCATCTTTTTTACTTTTCTTTTCATCCTCTTTCTTTTCTTCTAATCACTAGTTTTTTCTTTCTTCTTTTTTTGATTACACTGATTTACAAAGAAAATGAGGCAAGCATAAAAATAGTTGTTCTAAGCTAATTTTGGGATGTTGATTTCAGATACGCAATCCGTTTTCACCCATCTCCTCTATATATTCATGTATAAATATGCGTAAAATGGATACATGTATATGCATCCAAAGCTGCCAGATGTTTCCTATTTAGTACATTGTGTTCTTTTTTAATTTTGATTTTTTTTAAAATTGTATTCTTTAAAAAAAGAAACAAATTATGCAATGGCCACCTTCATCTGTTTACGCTCGGACCTGTGGACTAAGTTTAATTGTAGGGAAATGAAATCCTCTTCAGATTCGAATGCCCGGTACGCATGGACGTAACTATATATATGATAAAAGTTTATTTTGTATTCCTGATTTTTGTGGGCTAATAAATCTCTCTTCAATAGCTTCAAGCACTTAAACACACAGAGGATTCATTAACAAGTCAAATTCATTCTGTTACGTGTGTGGGGGAGGGATTTCAAGACAATTGCACAGCACCGAACAATTAATCCCCTCCTGAAAACTGCTTATTTCATTATTTTGACTGTAAAACTGGAGATCAGGACAAATCCTGGGCCACACACATCTGGTATACACCGTGTTACATGATTTAATGGCAGGAAAGTAGCCTTCAAATTTGCTGTCCCGATGGTCTGGAGAGAGCCACAAGTCCATGATGGTGATTATTATTTTTGTCTAACAAATATAACTAGTTTCAATGCTATTTATTATAAAAAAAAGTCAAATATCCCAACCTCCCTTCAGCTTGTTCCCAAGATTACCCCTCTGTCCCTACAGTCCTAACACATGAAGAATTGTCTTCAGAGGATAATTCTGCCAAGTCTGTCTCATCTGGAGGCAATGTCTCTGTTTATTCAGCAGCAAGTGGCAGTGAGCCCCATCGGATCACCCAAGAAGACCTGAATGACATTACTCGTGATCTGTATCTATCTAAGCAGCAGTCAGGGCTGCTGGCATCCCGACTTAAGCATTGAAACCTGATCATGGCAGATGTAGATGTAAAGATCACCAGTTTCAGAACACGGAACAAGGTCTTCGACATGGAAAACGGATAGTGCTACTGCACAAATGTCTCTGGCTTATTCACCTTGGATTCCCACGCAATCTTTCAGATTTTTGTCTTTTCATAGACTCTTCAAAGCAAAGTCTGAAAGCTCTGCTCCTGCACAATGGGAATAAATACACTAGCCTTCTCAATCCATCTGGAGCTCCTTTCGGAATCTGCCAAATTCAGGCAGTACACGTGGAATCTCTGTGGCGACTTCATGATCATTGGGCTTCTTGTGGTTAGGCAAGCAGACTTCATGAAGTACTATTGCTTTCTTTGTCTCTGGGACAGCAGGACTTGCGTGCAAGCACTACAAGCAGAAGGAATTGAGTCTAGGAGCACTTTCGTGCCTGATGTAAACAGTGTCAAAGAAAATCCTCTTATAGACATGAACAAAGTGCTTCTTCCTCCTTTTCAGGTCCAGCATAATATAATGAAGAATTTTGCGAAGGCCTTAGACAAGAATGGTGCTACCTTCCAACACCTGTACACACTGTTCCCAGTTTCAGTTCTGCAATGCTCAAGGAGGGCCTCTCCATCGAATCTCAGTTTCGAGAAGTGCTGAAAGATAAGGTAATTGAGGAGTTTCTTACCTTAAATGAACTGAGAGTACGGGAAGCATTTAAGTCAATCGGTCATGGCTTCCTTGGTAAAACAAGGGTACTAGATTATCAAGAGTGTAACCAGAAGTTGTTACAGACCTTTATGAGAATATCGGATGCTGAATGTAACTCAAAATTCACTTTCTTCAGTCTCGCCTTAACTTCTTCCTTGTAAGAGTAACAAGTGATGAGCATGGAGAAAATTTCCAAGATATTACTGAAATTGAGAGAAATTACCAATGTAACTTCAGCAAAATGAGGAACTTCTGCTGAATGCTCCTGCGGAACATACCCGATGCAAAGTACACGAAATCGTCAAAATAAAAACTGTCTTCTGTACTATGATGCGTATGTATGCTATTATCCAAATAATTTTGTTCCATCATTGCTCTGTATCTATGCTGTTTTTTCTTACATTATTTGGACTATTGTCCCCATCTTTGTCGCCATACAATAGTCCGAATAATATAAATAATGTACATAATAGCTCATCTCAGAAATATAGACAGATACTGAAAGGCCGAAACGTTGTAATAAATATGGCGACAAAGATAAGGAAAATAGTCCGAATAATGTAAATAATGTATTCGCTTTGATTCTTTTTTTTTAATAAAAACGGCTGCCATTGCTTAGGTCAGACGTAGGAGAGAATAAACCACGTAATATATATTTAATTAAAATCTATCATGCTCTAAAACCAAAACATTAACATTGAAATCAAGTCTTGCTTCGTGAACAACTTCGTTGGATCGAGACTTTCATATGAATGTTCAAAAATATTTAAACTATCAACTCTATACGCTTTCTCGTGTCGATGATTAAAAATTGTTTCCAATGAATGAAGCATATAGGTTCTAATGAAGATCACTCTTCTTCGAACCTGATAAACTGGTGCTACAGAATCACTAAACGACAAATAACAGAAACCATATCACTTGAGCACTTTTAACCGCCGCACCAACTGAAATGGTTAGCACGTGAGAAGAACAAGTGCTCCACGGAAGATTTCTTCAAGATCTTCGAGGAAATTAATGCGTCAAATTAAACAAAATCCGATGTTTACTCGTCAAGTCTTGCAGGATGATTTGCTTTCATCAGAAATCTGTGTCACTAAACAGACAATAAGCAATGAAATTAAGAGGAACAATCTAAAATCACACCCGCCTCGGAAAACTCCACTGCTATTGAAAAGACACGGAGATACTAGATTGAAATTCGTTCGTGAACATAAGGATAAGGAAAAATTGTATTGGGAAAAAGTATTATGGACAGACGAAATCAAAATGGAGTTGTTTGGACGTAATTCTAGAAATCATGTATGGAGGAAAGATGGCGATGCCTTCAAACAAAAGAACACAAGTTCAACAGTCAAATTTGGTGATGGCATCATCATGGTTTGGAGATGTTTTTTTTTCTGTCAACATATCAGTAATAAATGGTAGAATGAATGCTGCAGCATCTCAAAATATTTTGAAAGCAAATTTAATGATTTCGGTTGCACATCTTGAACTCCTGATTGGATCTTCCAAGAAGATAATGATCCTAAGCAAACTGCAAAATCTCCGATGAAATGGCTTGCTGAAAATAATGTAAATATCCTGAAATGGTAAAGTCAGTCTTCAGATTTAAACCCAACTGAGAATCTCTGGCGTTATTTCAATATTCAAATCCAATCGAGAGCTCCAACAAACATCCCGCATCTGAAGAGCATATGCGAAGAAGAAAGGAACAAAATACCAAGTAGAATTTGCAAATCATTAATTGAGAACTACAAGAAGAGGTTGGTTATTGTAGAAGTGAATAATGGCTATTCTATAAAGTATTAAATGAAGATTATGCATTCTTTTTTTTGTATCGTACAAATACTTTTTCATTCATTAAAATGGATAAATTGTATTTATTTCTATTATATCAAAATCTTTTCTATTTGCTATGGATATTTAGTTATTATTCATCTGTGTACAGATAATTATATGAAAAGTATTACTTGGAAATACAATAAATTAAAAATTTGTATGTGTACTAATATTTTTACCGCCACTGTATGTATATATATATATGTGTTTGTGTGTGTGTCTGTGTGTGTGTCTGTGTATTTAGGCAGCATATTATTTTCATTCAAGCAGGTTTAATGAATTAATTTAGACGTATTATGTCTACTTATTTTAACTTTAATTCTTTCAAGTTCAAGAAATAATTTCTTTGTGGCTGTAGAAAATTGATCAAGTAAGAATTAATTTTTTCATTTTCCCAAGTACTCAGAACATATAAAGGAATACTCATGTCCACATTCACTGTTTAGACAGATATTAGTCGAAAATACATTAGGACTTCATTAAAATAATAATAAGCAAAATCTTTTAATTCTGGAAGCCTTAGTGCATAATTGCGACCAAAAATAAAATCAACTTTGTGTATAGCAACAAAGTTCTTAATTGTTCGTAGCAGCAAAATTTTATATAAAATACTATATCAAAATATTATAACTAAAAACTAAAATACTATTTAATTTTTTAATATTAAAATAAAAATTACAAAAGTTACCCCCACCACCCACACACACTTGCATAGCAAAAAATTTTCGAATTCGAATTTTCGAACGCTGTATATGAACAGTGAAAAAATATTTGAAAAAAAAATAGTGTAAATGTAAGAAACTCCTAAGAGAAAAAAGCTGAATGGCATATTTAATGGCGTGAAAACGCGATAAAATCTTATTAGTGATCGGTCTTTATTCACGGAATGTTAATAAGAAATTTATATTAATGCTCTACTACTAAATATGGCATCGGGCTTTTTTTCTCTTGTGTGCCTTTGTAACATACTCCCTTAGGATTTGCATACATTTTACATCACTTAAATGTTATGCTCTGATAAGAGGACATTGAGGTTTCGCTATTTTCTTTTTAGCGTTATGCTCCTTTACTGAGACCCTCTTTTGTTTCCCATGCTATCGAGCATTATGTAGGTACGCTTTTGATTTTTTTTCTGGTGTTTTCCCCCACGTAATGGTGATTATTCGTCATTTGTCGCTGAGCCATTTGAGCCTTTCGTCCGTAGATGAGTTTAGTTGGTGTGGGAATATTATGTACACATCATTTACTCTCGTTGTAAGCCGAGGGTTGCATAAAATGCCCATTTTCACAAAAGTGCATTTGCCGACTACCTGACGATTGCCTGAAAAACGCATGAAACTTTTTGTAGTGGTCGGTCATTGTTAACCGGAATGTTATTTCGGAAATTATATCGTTCTTGACAATCTTACTCTCCAGAATCTAAGTCTATCATTCATCTGTGCCTTGAATATTGTTGCCATATATGATCCGAGGTTCCTGATATATAATTAGTGATTCTTGATAAAATCCAAATAAGAATCAGCAATATTATCGGTCTTAGCCTGTCATCTCGGTTTCAGCCTCTTTTCCACTGCTGCTGATTCCTCTACCTTTTCATGTTAATTCTTCGGATGAGCTCTTCGCTATGATACCGAGACTTTATGAATTTAAGCACAGTACTTGATTAGCAACAAGGTCTGTTCAATTCGCAATTGAATTAGCTAGATTTAACCGTAACTTCTAGGCTAACGGTATCTTTTCTCACACTTTTCACTTGTGGAACTCTCTTCTGGCTCAGTGAGTTCCAACCAACATTCATCTTCAAAAATTTAAATGAGATATCATTCATTATCGACTTTCTGGTTACTTTTCTAATTGTTCTCGGTCCTTAAAAATGTTTACTGTTTTCTAAATCTTTCACACTCAGTAACCCTTTGTATCATAGTTGATTTACTCCCTTTTATAGGTGAAATGATTAAAAAGAAATATATATGCATATATACATATATGTTTGTGTGTGCATGTGTGCGTGTGTAAAACTAGCATAACACCCGTCACAAATGAAGGCTTTATTTATATATGTATCGATACATCTGCATAGGATCAGAAAATCTCTGCACTTTTGCTAATATCAAAATATCACCTTGGATTTGTACTATTTTATCAATATATAAAATTTGTTCTCTCCATTCGTTGCTAGTTTTCTGCCCTCAAACAAGAAATCAGAAAAATATAATAAACTTGTTTTGTCAGACATTTTCAATGTAACATATATATATATAAATATATATATATATATATATATATATATATATATATATATATATATATATATATATATATATATATAAAATTGTAACAGCAAAATTGTCCAAAAAAGCAAAATTCTCCATTTGTTGAATTAAATTAAATGATTAAAAGTATCTTACTGTAATTCTCCGAGGTTTTATAATACTATTAGACTCGACGTTGAGCAATAAAATGTATAA